AAACGAATGAGTAAATACCTGCGTTGTGATTTTGCCGAATGAAAAATGAAATTAAATTCACCGCGCGGTTTATTTATTGTTGTGGTCGTCATTTCCAAGTTCTTTGCCCATTTCTGTTCCTTTTTACATTCCAAAGACCGTCCAACTATCGATGGGAAAATTCAGCCAAATGCATAGCTAATCTGTAAGCCGAACTTTGATGCATTGTACTCCAATATCGAATGTGTCAATGCCTTCGCTGTGAGTTCGGCCGAGGTTACAAATTCCACTCCCTACTGGGCTCAGTAGGTAAGCCCAGTGGAGACAAACTTTAACTCTCCTGCCCCTCCCTTCAATCATTTTTCTGGAATCTGCAGACACGTGACCAGCCGCAACTAGGGTACTTTCTCGAAGGAGGAAGAGAGAGGACCCTGGGAGCGAAGTTGACACCGGGTCGGATGGACGAGAACACCCCGAGAACGAAGTTCGTTTCGGTACAATATTAAAGGGCAACGAGAAGCTAAAATTGCACCTTATTGTTACTTATTTTCGCGGGAACTTAATTTCGCGAAAATGGAATGGGTATATTTCTTGGGACTTAAATTTCGCAATTTAGCCTAAAAAAGAAAGAAAAAAGAAAAAAAAATACGTTAACAGGAATGAACTTTTCGCGAAAATTGTGAAAATACTGATCTTTATTGACAAATGGTTAGTCTCAAAACTGGCACAATTAATTTTCCATATAGCAATAGTTTCCAATGACGCTGAACAAAACCATAAAGCAAAATGAAGCTGAAAACAGTTTCACATGTTCGCTTGCACAAAGCTGCGCTTATAATTATGACGCCATCCATTTGCAAGTCGACTACCAACCGCTGTTTGGGATAAGAGCCTGCGCTCCTCCTCTTTCTCGGGGAGGAACGTAGAACATACTCGATAGAAGGGCGAAAATCGAGCCTAGTATTTATCTTAACAGGGGTTAAACTTTACACGCTGTTAAAGGTGGTGGCTCACTGAAACTGCCAACGGAAAAATATTTCCTTTCTCAACAGCGTCAATGACAGGAACAGGCCTTGCTTTTTCCGGAGGTGGTATCCGGTCAGCGGCCCTCTGCTCTGGAGTTCTGCGCAGACTTTTACAGCGCAGCACCAAGATCGACTACCTGAGCTGTGTGTCAGGGGGCGGTTACACAGGTACGGCCTACCTGGACTGGAAATACAGACATGGCAAGAAAGATGATCCAAAATGGCATCAGGAGTTCTTCGATCACATGAGAGAAAATGCTGGATTGATGTGCAACTGGAGAAGTCCTGTTTACGGAATCTTGGACACCATCATATTAATTTCCCTGATGTTGCTAGTGTCTGTCATTATGCCGTGTATTGTCTGGGGATCCTACATTCTCCCAGTGGCTTATGCGATCGATTTCATTTTCGGAGATCTGTTGCGAGCTGGGGATGAATGCGATGAACTTCCTACCACCCCACTCCCCAACCCAGGTGCTAACATCTCAAGCCAGGCTAGACTAGGAGGACCTCCCTGTAAGTTCAAACGGGGCTCTGAAGCCTATCAACGCATCATTCTGTTCGTGGCTCTTGCAGTCTTGTTCGTCACCTTCTACTTGTTGGCTAAGAAGGTCAAAAAGTTTCGAGATGAACTCTACTTCATCTCTGCCTTTTGCGGAATAACACTTGCTTTCACTTTCATACCTTATTTCATTTTCTACTTCTTCGACCGCACCCCATTCTGGGCGCAACTTCTCATTTTAGTCTTTAGCATCGTGGTCTGGCTGTTCTTTCCGGTTCTCAGAGGAAGGTCGTCTTTTGTAGTGGTGATCTACTTGTATTCGTATGCCGTGTACTGGAAAGTGTATGAGGCATCTGTGTTCGGTGTCGAATATTCCGATTACCTGTTCTATAGGCTTTTCTTTGGCTTTGCAATCGTTTTATGGTTTGTGCCAGGGTTGGGAGCCCTTCAACAACGACTCGTGCACCTCTTTAATCGGTAAGTTGTAAAGACGTAAGTAACTTTTATATAATACGTCGATTTATTCTTGTATTTTGACTGGTTCTTTCTCATGATCAATTAGAGGTCAGACGCATAGGTGACGTCATTAACATTCTTGTTTGTTTCGTTATTTCATAAAAACTCAGGAGTAGATTCCATATTGCTGTGAGTCTGTCCAGTAACCGATCACGAACGTCAAAATGTGATAAGAATTGATCAGTGACACACGAGGCGATAGTGTGTGCCTCTTTTTGTTGTTCTTACCCCATTTTGACGTCATCTGTGATCAATTACTGAACAGATGAAACGGCATTACGGCAACATGAAATCTATTTGATGAACTGAAGTCAAATCCGTCATGAAGAAGAAATTTCTGTTGTTTTGTTGAGACCAATCACAAATAAGCTGTTAACCTTCTGGACCAATCTATCATTTTATTTTCCCACGCTTGTCACGTGTTGCATAATAGGATTAAGAACGACGACGACGGCGACACCGAGGACGACGCCTAGTCAAATATATAGAGGATATTACACGGTGGCGAGAAGATATGAATTTTATGTTCGAGTGGCAAGAACAATATCTCACGAGTGAGCGAAGNAAGGTGACACACGGAAAATACGCCACTCGGGTCCCGGATGAAGTGGCGTATGGAATCTACGAGTGGTTTAGTTCCCAGTAAAACACTCTTCTCCACATAATAAGAATTTCGAAATTCGCGAATTTGCGAAATTCGCAATTGTTTAGATCTGTTTAGTACGCCAGTGGCTCTAAAAACATGCTCAGGCTAAATATGCAACGACAGCGTTCAATTCTGAATGGAAATTGGAAATATTAGCCGTCGTCGTTCGCGTTCCTCAGACTACGCAGAACTTGGTCATTTCACGTTCTTGTTTTGCAGAGGACGGCAAAGAATATTTATAACGCACGTGCACAGCTATTGTTTTATTCATTTAACCTTTTCTCTGGTGACGTTCTCGTTGCCGTCGTGGTCGTGGTTTGCTTTAGTTCTCTATTTTCTCCCTCTAAAGGACGGCGGCTTGCAGAATGCGTGCGCATTAACAACGGGTTTGAGGGCTCAAAATAATTTTCGGACCATGTTGACCGGCCAAAGTAATTTTAGCTCGGTCACGTCTCGTTTCTGACCGGTCTAGATATTTTAAAAATTTTTTAGTAATATTGACCTCATTAAACCCACAAATATAATTTGTTTGTTGCAGTCGTTGCTAGACCGTTTAAAAATTGGCTTAATACAAAGAAAAGCTTAAAACTTAACCAAAGATAGCCTTGGCAGGGCGCAGTAGCTCAATGAAGTGGCACGGTGCCAGTGGAATTCTTGCCACCTGTCAAAGAAAGAGCATTGAACGGATGCATATTTGATGAAAACTTCGAATTTTTCGATCGGTATATCGAATTCCATAAGCTGTTGTTTTGATGTACGTTCTACAAAGTATTTACGATGTCCATCAAAACGTAAATAAAACCAAACATGCATCAGCAGATACTTATTTTGGGATTCAGAAATAACTTGGTAAACAAATATAGCCGAAGAAGTTGTTTATGTTTCCTCGATACGCGCACAACAAATCATCGCGTTATGCACCTGTCACTGTAAACCCCCACNCCCCCCCCCCCTGACCCCGGGGAAACACGGGGCATTAGCCACAGAGCAAAACCCAACAAGGATAATGCCCAACATACAGGGGACATATTTTTGGGTGTAATCCCTACCAAAATGAGGATAATCCCCCACACACTGGGGACAAAAAACTCCTTGCCTAAACCCGCAGTATTACTTTTAGAAGTGTGATTGACATTTATTTTTGAATACCTCAACGTTTGGTCAACACGTTTTCACATGGAACAAGTGCCAAATTTCTAGCTTAGACAATTTTAAAATAAAAATACTCGTGTGCAGCACGCAACAACAACTAATGATCTTGTACAACTTAGTTTGTTAATCGACCGGTTCCATCTGCTAGTGAGACTTCGTCAGGATTAAAGCACTAATGTAAGCGGGGCTCACGGATTTAACGTCAAATCCGTGAGCCCCGCTTAGATCACATTGCGCATTTTCTAGCGCAGGATTTTCGTCATATCCTGCACGTATTTCTTCTGGGTGTTTTGTTGTTCACACCCTACAGTAGGAGCGTACTTATTTTCCTAGAAAAAATGCGCGGGAAGAACAAACCGGGTTTGTTCCCGCGCATTTTCTGCGACTTCATGCAAACTGAATGTTTCTCGTAAATCATTCCGTAATTCACAAGACGTGTTCACCAAAGGAGATACCATTCCAGTTTTCCACCGCTTGACCGGTGTCCGCGTTTTATAACTAAACAGCTGTCATATGATAATTTGGCTTTAAATTGGACTGAAAGTGAAACTTCTTTTGCCTCAGGTGGAGACTGCAGAAAGCTTTTTACACCGAAGCCAGTGTTGGTTCAACCGGATGCAAGGGAATCGGCTGTGAGGATATTTTCCTGGTAACTTGTAAATCAGCAACAAAGCACGAGCCGCTAAGTGATAATGAATTTGGACCATTGAGTTTACGAGATCTGGAGGGAATCAAGCCTCAGTACTTATCAAACATCGTGGTGAACGAATGGTCTCTAGACAAATCGGACAATGAGGCCCAATACGAACTGCTCATCATGTCGCCCACAGGAATCGAGCGCTTGGATCGCCAAGAGGACCAAGAACAGTTTGAGAACAAACTCGATCCTGGAGATGTTGACCTGTCAGCCGCCATGGCAACCTCTGCCGCCGCAGTTGCTCGAAGCATGGGAGCTTACGACAAGTCACTGCAAGGCCTGAAGCAGCTGCAAACCGTGCTAGGACTGGGTTTGGGTGCATCCATGGTATCTGATGTTGAGGCGCTAAAACGAGAACCTTGTATTTTTAGGGTAAGCACTGTCAAATGAGAGTAAACACTAACAAGAATGAAAAATGGAGCATCATAATTAGTGATAGCTTTTAGTTTTTATGATAGCAGGTGTGAAAATGTTCTTTTTTCAACAATGCTGACATCAATATTTTTGTTCGAGATTCAAGCCTTTTTTATGATGAGGTAAAAGGCTCGCAGAATAACAGTTATGCTGAGGTTTTCAGGGTATCAAAGAGATTTTCACAGCTTCCTTTATCTCAGAGATGAACCATTTTCTTTCTTTCGGCAGGCACTCCCCTTTATCATCGAAGGATTCCGTATCCTCCCCCTGGTAACCTTTCCATTGGTATACTTTGCCGGGGGGAGCGAAAACTGGGTCGCCATTGGTGTCCTGATATTTTTTGTGATGCTGTTTATGCTGCTCATAATTTCGACCTTGAAGACTGGTGATGAAAATCCCGGATGTCTGGAGAAAGTTACCAGGTGAGATGTTAAAATGTATTTCTTTTAGGTGTTTAATTAGGTTGCTTTGTATTAGTTTCCATTGGGATAATCAGGCCTTTATATACCACTCCTTGTGAATATCACACCACTTGACGCCGACCAGTTTACTCGAGGCTGTTTTTTTTCCTTATTGTTTATATCATTGTTGGAAATAGCGTGTGACATTTTCTTATAGTCTTTGGCTTGTAACCTGTATTCAGCGTGTCTCAGATTCTTGTAAATAAACTCGATCATTGCTGGCTGCTCCCTACACTATTTGTTGTATTACTTGTCTCTTTTACTTATAACAGAAATGTTTTCTATTCGGCTGAGCGAAGCGAAATAGAATAGAAAGTTAACGAATGTCAAGAAGGGTTTGATGGTTACAGTCAAAACGGGTGATGCGTCACGGCTTCTCAAATATTTGTTTGATTCAAATTTCAAACGTTCAAATACCTTGCGAGACAGAGATTCTCTTCTCTTCACAGCAGATATTAAGAGAAGGGAATTTGGGAAGTTTTAGACCTAATAAGGCTCGCCTCCCCCCAATGGCACCCGGGGTAGTATCCCAGGTCATCCCAGACACGGGTGATATTCGTTAATCTTCGGAAGGGTTCGGGTGATCTTTGGACGTGCTCAGAAAACGTATTTAAATTATCTTTGGCTATCTTCGGGAGCCTTCGGGTGAACTTCGACCACTTTCGAAATATCGTCTGAGTGTCTTAACACTAACTTCGGATATCTTAGTTCTAATTTGAACGGCCCTTCTCTGAGCCAATCAGAATCGAGTTTTTTTTTTCAAGTGTATTATTACTTTATTTATTTACTTAGCCATTTATTTATTTTGATTCAAATGAATCATGGAAATAATAGGATAGTGACTGCTTAAACCAGTTGAGGTCAGTCGTAAATTCGATCGTCATCTCTGTTGCAATTGCAGACTTCTTTAGAAGTTGCCAAACAGTATTCCTTTCGCAAATTTTGGTGGCGAAGCGACTTTACTGTCAAAACAATTGGCTCCAGTTGCTCGAAGGCTGGATAACGCTATCCACCGGGTAAATCGCTATCCAGTGGATAAATATTAACAAAACAAACCGCGCTCTCCGCTGGATAGTGATTTATCCGGCGGATAGTGTTTAAATAATCCACCTTTCGAACAACCTAGGCCTGAGGTATTTTTACTTCGGCAATCAGGAGATTCGATTCAACCAGATACATTCCATATTGATCACGTGGCTGTTTCCTCATTGGTTGTTGCTCAATTTTGAATTTTTACGTGCAAGAAACAACCACACGTCTCCCAACAGGATGAGTTGTAGAGTAGTGTGGGGAGCAGTATGGGGCAACATTTGAACTCGGGTTATGGATGTCAGTGTTTTTGATCACAATTTTTTCATTTGCAGGTGGTTCATCGTACACGTTCCTTTTGTTCGATTCATAAGGCAAATGCTCTTTGTTACCAATAAGGGTCCCTCCCCTCCCCCAATACTTCGACTCAGTGATGGCGGCCACATTGAAAATCTCGCCATTTTGCCTCTTCTGAAGAAACGCTTAGAGAAGATTGTCGTGGTAGACGGTGGTCTCAAGTCCAACGACAGTCAATGGGGGAATGATCTAATCAACGCCTTTTCCTTGGCGCGTGAGAAACTTCACTGTTCGTTCATTGGTGTGGACGGCCGTGACGTTATTGAGGACATAAAAGAAAAGTTTGTCAACAAGCCACGGGGCCACCAACCAAGGAGTTACAGGTCGGCAGGTTTAAAATAAACCAAACTTGTTGCAGATTTAAACTAGTCTTTGGGCGTTCTCAGGTCTTTTCATCTCGGGGAAGACTCCCAAATAAAAATGATGGGCATGGTCGTTGGAAATTTTGAAAAGAACCCCTAAAAGGTACCACGATCCTGTTTTGTGGGCGTGGCTTGATTTTTTTTTTTTCACCCCTAAGTGGTACCAAATCTAATACAACACATTATTATATGGAGAAGAGTGTTTTACTGGGAACTAAACCACTCGTAGATTCCATACGCCACTTCATCCGGGACCCGAGTGGCGTATTTTCCGTATG